CTGGACGACAAAGACCCCCACGATTCATCACTGCCGATTGACTGTCTGGGTCACGGTTGCGTTCCATACTAAATATAGCAACCCACAGTCACGTGTATGTCGCACCCGAATAAGAATGACCCAGACACGTCAAGCTTTTCGGCGAGTTCACAATGAACGCACTGTACTTAATACAGTGTGAATACAGTGAATTGGCTGGCAAGGTCACACACACCCAGTGCTTGATACGCATTCAACGAACCACTATCAAGGTCATTCACATGTAGCCCGGACGATTCAAATTATTATGTATGCTTTGTTTATTGACTTCACGCACACAATTCTGGTATCGAACTTGCAAGGCTTGCAATGCGTGTGAAACACTATTTAGGTGAATATGACGAAAGTGACTACCTTTTGCAACCACAACTTCGGTCCTTCTGGATTCATGAAAAGAAGACAGTATGTGATATATCTTCTTACGATTGCTCTTACCATCACAGAACAGTGTAAAAATGTGTATTTCTAAAACCACGAATGAACAAACGTTCTAATAAACTCTGCGCTTGGTTAAAAAGACGCCCTTGAACTCAATGCGCGTCAACAGCTACTATGATACCTACGTGGTTCACTAGAAAAGCATTAAATAAAAATCACAGAGAATTGTCGGAGCGTTATATCACTGATAAGAATTTAATGTGAAAGAAACGCTTTGCCTGTTCTTTAAACCGTTTTTTTTTATGAATTCAAGATAACAGTAACCATATTCACGCGTAACTTTGCCCCAGCGGGTTAGCTGTCGCTTCCCAGTGTGACAAGCAGTGCGCGTGAAACAGGAACTGTAATTATCGATTTCCCTATTGATTTGTAGAGATTCGATTGGTAATTGCGCCTTTGACTGTCAGTGAATTATTTCACTCGTTCAGTTATTCAGTATGAACGAGAGCTCGAATACAAACCGCCAAGTGTCTGTTGAAAGCGAAAAATTATGGCTCGCTAACGTGTCCGCAGGTTACGGTGAAAACACTAAAGATTTCTTGCAAACAGGTGAACGAAATGGTCTCCCTATACCGGTGTCGATTAGTCTCAACTTCAAAGCATAGGTGTTTTTTCAGTTGCAATAGAAGAAATCATGTGGATTTCAACAGTTGACGTGGAACCGAAGGGCGGAGAAATTCACAGAGCACTTAGGTGGATTTGATGTCTACCGTCCTCAAGGTTGGGGTTCAAAAGACTGCACCTGATTTGTTGGAGACACTGGAAGATACAACAGTAGCTTTGTTGTTGTGACTTCTCATGAGGTCAGAATGCATGAATGAGCATGTATACACAGTTAGGTTGTGCACTTTGTGTTGACCCTTGAGGTTTGCTTTCTTTGTCTTGCTCTAGTTAGGCCCAATCCCTGTCCATATCAAAGATTCTCACCTACTACATGTACATGTTTAGCTTTTCAGCGATTTATGAAGTTCACTTCACTATATCCTGCTGTACGATGATAATGATGAAATCGCGAAGTGGGCATATGCCAAAGGACGGATTCCGGAAGAAGTTTTTTCAAAGTCCACGAACAAGCTGCAAGTCGATAATCGTCTTCAGTTCTCTCAGTAGCATCGGTAGCTCTTCAAGCCCCGGGATACTCTCAATCACCAGATTATGAATGCAAAGACCTCTAGGTCCTCAAGAGCGTAATCAGTTTATCCGATGTACCTTTTTGGTAATTTGATGAATACACTTGACACCTGGAAACAAATGCAGAGCGTATTACGTCCGTTTCCTGTCCACACAAATGATAGCCTTTGTATGATTGCGGTTCATTTCCTGAAAGTTGACTTTACATTTGTTTGATCAATAAAATAAAAATGGATGTCAAAGAACATTATTTTTTAATGATTCGAAACGATATACCAAGCCATGCTAATTCTCACAAAACCACCAGCTGATTGTGCATCCCGTGGCTTCACTTGCCCATTCGCTTTCGTCTTTGTATGTTATGTATGTTTGCCGAGCTTGACAATTGTACTGCAGTATAATTGTCAAGCTCGGCTAACAAGTGAATATCAAGTCATACTACCCGAGCTACAAAAATAGCAATCAACACCGTTGTTTAGAAAACTGTCTTATATATATATATATACCTAGTTGATAATCAGTACTATATGAATGACTGGACAAAATTTCCCTGAAAGCACATGACCGGTTTCGCGGTTCTTGCCGCTCATCAGGCATGCGTATCCGTAATCCACCTACTAACATCGAATTAAAGTATTGATTTTTCAGTGAACTGGCTCTTAGAGAGCTGTCTATTCAAAAATCACCCGGTGTTGCAAACAAGGTTGGTGTGACGAAAATACACTTCCTGACAACAGATTACCGGATACGCATGCTCGACGAGCGGCAGGAACTGCGAAACCGGTCATGTGCTTCCAGGGAAATTTTGTCTGGTCAATCATATACTGCTTATTATGAAATATACATTTGAGGGGATATAAATAAGATTGCTGTCTCGCCGTCAAAGGAACCGCTGTAGCTATGGTAGTATGTTAGAGATGTAACAATTTTCGTTTTGATCAAAGTTCATTTGCTCACCTCTCACCACTTTAGCTTTTCCGTATAGTTAGTCAGTTATATCTGATAGCTACCAAGACCACAGCAAAAGTACGAGGCAGCAGACATGAAACTTTCTTTCCATCCGGATGAGCTGTTGAGTATGAGCATACTTGTTTTCGTACGATATCGCTTCAAAGGTCTATCCCTCTTAAAGGTGTCGATTTTTTGTGTGAATGTCTTTTCTATCTAATTCAAACCGCCCATTTTCACAGAATCTCCAAATCCAGTTTCAAGCCAAACGTGAGGAACTTCTCCCCAGTCAGAAATTCAAGTTCTCACGGAACCGAGTGAAAAAGTCCACCGGGACTGCCGCGTCAGATGTAACCGTTCCGGGCGTAATTGAACGATCCAATCCCATTCCCGGCAAGCTGACCAAATACGATGAACGATTCAGCCTGGTCAATATTCAGCACAACCCGCATCTGCTACTTCCGAAGCCGAATTGCACGGATGCGATCGGTCCGGACCATTCGGTGTATTTAGCCGAGTTGACTAATTGCACCGTGCAAGTGCGTGATGTATGCGGTAATCTGGTTGCGAAGAGACTTCGCAATTGTCGGGTGTACATCTTCCCGGTGGCCGGTTCCGTTTGGCTTGAGGACTGTCAACAGTGTGATTTCGTAGTCGCGTGTCGTCAGCTCCGGATACACCAGACGACCGACTCACGTCTTGGTTTGCACATGGCCAGTCGCCCGATTATCGAACACAGTACCGGACTTCGGGTAGCTCCGTATCCCTTGCACTACCCTACACTGGATTCTGATCTTATTCGGGCTGGCTTGTCGGCAGAAGTGAATTTGTGGCGTGAGGTGGAAGATTTTAGTCATCCGAATAAAAGACTCACAACCGGATCCCCAAATTGGTCCGTACTTCCGGAAACGGAATGGGACACTTTGAAACCACCGACGGAATAGGGTCAGCCCAAGGATGTGAATACTGCATGTGGTGCTCCGTGCACTGCTGTCTCAAACATTCTCATCTCAACTTTTCTTGCCTTTTCGCTTCCTCAGATTTGAAACAAAAAAATAGTGCCAGCACGCAAGCGCGCGCTCTTTCTGCGCACTAATATTCTGTCCAATTCCGTGTCAGGAACAAATCGCCCCCACTTTATGTCCAGCTTAGGGCGTTTGTGTCGTGTGATATATCACGGAAAATAAATATTGCATCTATCCATTTTGATTCTTCTAATCAGGAGAAACAAGTTTTTGGTATTACAAAAAAGATCAGTCAGTTATCCTATCCAGTATGACTTACCTGTAATACATCTTCACTCCAATCGGGCGTACACGTGAGTGGTCTGTGAGTATGCAAAGTGCAACGCACATTCGTCATCAGCGGGGGCTTGACGTGAGTAAAAAATGTTACGCTTGCTGAGTGTAGGGTACGAACGGATCGACCACCAGATCATAGGTTATGAAACGTACCATGCATCGGATAGCCAGAATAAAGATTTTTCAAACCAGTTAGATACATCCCATTTGCTCCTTGCTCACTGGGCAGCGTATATCTCACAAAAAATAATTATGCGTTACTCCAATGAAACGATGTTGAAGTAGGATTATCAACTAAGCGACCTGCCTTTTTCGATCTCATTCTGGATGCATGGAACCCAGTTTACAACCCATTTTTAAACACTACATGAGACAAAGCATTTCATCGAATTAAAAGATGATAACCAAACCGAACTCTGCACTTCTGTTTCAAAAATTGTTTACTTCGTCGGTTTTGGCAGAATGCATGCTAGAGGTCAAGACTAAAACCCGCAGTAGTTGACGAGAAATGGGTGAACGACGTTCAAAGTGCTGGAAGTCGAATGCATAAGCGGAACTGCAATACGTTAGTCATATTGACTTGTGATCATGACCCTGAAAAACACATCAATGAGAAAATTGATTGAATGAAAACACGCCGTGGATAGTTCATCAACTGAGTGATAGAGTCTATAGTCGTCATGATGAGTTTGCTTAAGTTTCCCCTTTCATAAAATCTTTGTCTCCGGGGCACAGGAAGCTTCCGAGTTCATGCAGACAATGAGGAAATTTACCCAATGACCTAATCGGTGGTCAGAAAGAGATAGTTGGAGAGTCCAAGGGGAGCGAAAAAGTTTTTAAATTGTAAAATAAAAGAGAAAAAGCCTGAATGGTAGACTACTTACAGTAAAAATAACATTTTTACTCAGGAGAAATAGGTAACTGATTTCAGTAATCATTCGAGGTCATGATAGTCAATCTGGAGGGGTTGGAAACATTTGATTTCAAGTAACTAGTAATGGTACACAATCTGTCCGGGCGTATCAGCGCTTCGCTCTATTGTTTCGAAAGAGTTAGTGTCGAATTCGTCCGATAGGTTAAGTTGATTAGCGATGAACCCATACACAATCTGAGACGAGCTGTTGAAGGCCTAATCCCTCAACTTCTCTTTTTTGATCAAATTTATCAGGTGATTGAAGAGTTCTACGAACGGGTTTTGCTTGGTATTTGTGGGCCACCCAAATATGGCTGTCAGCGGAAGGAAACAGTGACGTGAAGTGAAAGACTGAAACTGTTACTGATAAGGGAAAATCCCGTTGATCCCCTGAGGAATAAATATTTTCCACTTATGTTTAAAAAATTCAAATTTTTAAATGTTTGTGGCACAAGGGGCTCCCATCACACCTTCAGTCTAGCTCTTCCCCGAGTGGGTAGTTCTATCCTTTTTACTCAAGATCCTGACTCCGAAAAAAATATACAAACAAATGAGTTCCTTTCCCAAAGCGCCTGTGGGTCTCGAGGATCGTGCTACAGTAATCTTTATAAAAATAAAAACGCATGTGAACTGAATGTTGCCAGGTTGCCCGGCCCAGGGCAGATGAATTTTGTTGAGGAATCCACAACTAGAGCGTTCGGCTAACCAAAGCCTGAAACTTAAGGTAGCGGGGCGGTGTGTGAAAACCGCAATCCATTGGGAGTCGGTGTCCAGTTCATCGGTTCATACACCTTTCGGACGGGGTCAAACGTCCAAGGTGCCCAATACACCTCCATGCCCAACTGAGCCGGTGACCACTACCACACCGAGGACGGTGTGGGTGAGTGTGGTTCGTGCGCCTCCTCTTGGTTGGTTTGGAATCAGGGTTTTTGGCCAACTCCCCTAGATGAACTGCCAGTGAACCAGTGGTCCACCAACCCGGTCACAGCCCCGAATGTCGGTTTTCCGTCCTCTCACTTTGGTGCAAAAACACCTCTGTCAGGAGAAGGCAGTGAGTAGAACTTTCTCAGCGGAGGCTATTTGAGACGCTTGGTTGTATGGGAGCATTTCGCGAGGTGCAAGGGAAGGGTGACCAGCTGCAAACCTAGACACCCACCCCCGACCATACTGAGGATTTCGGAGGTTATCGTTCGTTCCGTTGGGTCACAATAGGTTGAGATAGATGGGTGCAAAGAGAGTGAGTTGATGCACTGGCATTGGAATTCCCTATCCTCATGTGTGTCACGCATGCCGATCATTATGAACCCACAGCAAGCGTGATGAAGCACGACTGATAACGAGACGTAACCTCAGCGAAAGCCTGAGCAGAGACCGCGAGATTTGGTGAACTCAACACGCATCAGAGGTGAAATATGCTGCCGCCATGGTAAATTCTCATAAACTGTTCCACCTCATCCAGGTCACCAGTAGAAACGATCTGCGAAGCTGACGGTTCACCCATCCATAATCAACAGTAACGTCTTTCACGCTGAGCGGAACACTTCGAGGCACAGCTTAGCTGACCACCAGCATCAGCTTTTCACACTGCTATTTCGGCACATGTCTCAACAGATCCATCTGGGGCGTAAATCTGTAAGCTCCAAATCTTGGGGTTTCCCAAAGGGCCGGACTCCGATGGCCTTCATCCACCTCCATTTAAAGCTAGTGGAATAAATCGTGTTTGAGAGTTGTTAGCTATATTCTATAAAGTATGACATACTGAGCAGTTCCACTCTTCGTGAGAGGAACTCGATTGCTGACTCCATCTTTAAAATGGGTCCGCCCACTGACTGCGCCAATCATAGGGGTGTAAATCTGATCCCAATCGCATTAAGGCCGTTAGGGTCCATCATTCTTCGTAGATTTGACAATTCGCATAAGGAGCAGACTGGGTTTCGAGCCGATCGTGTACGCATCGATTAAATCTTCACCCTCCGACAGCTGCTACAGCACCGTCATGCCTATCAAAGACCAGTGATCATTGTGTTCTTAGATATCCACGCGGTCTTGACTCTGTCAATAGGACCGCACCATAGAATGGTTAGTTAAGGTTTTTGAGGTTCCTGAGAAGTGTGTCGATCCTCAGACAGTTATATCGTCATACCTCAGGTCGGGTTAGGACATATGGCTAGCTTTCGCCACACTTCACCGTCTCCAGTGGTGTTAGACAAGACTGCTCTGTCTCACCATTCCTGTTCAAAGTCAAAGTCAAAGTCAAAAATCGCTTTATTCATCCTAATGGATGGGTCCTCAGCTTCTTGCACTCTAGAAACAGTTATCATCGCATATAATCACAATGAAAAAGTGAAAAAATACAGTACCGTAAATTCAAAGGAATGTGGAGTAAGAGTTTGAAAGTGATCATCAATTGCGTAGGAAACTCAAAACGTTTTCCTAACGGATGTCTTTTAAGCCAGAAATCTCGAAAGATAGGGGATGATGGACAAACGGTAGGCAGTGGTATGAGCATACACCAGTTTATAACGACATCTAGTTACAGAAGTGGATATGCATTGTCCAAGTTCTGTGTGCAATGGATGAGTGGTGTCTGGTAGGATATTGTTGCAGAAGTTGTTGCAATAGGTAAAATGTTTATCGGCGATAAAGTTAAGCAAGTGCAAATAAGAAATACTGCTTATGTGAGAAATAATTTTAATAGACCGGTGTCAAATTGTCTAATCTTTTATTCTAAGATCGGCAAATAAAACTGGGGAGCAGTAGAGAGAGTAACAACACAAGGATATACAAATCGGGTAAGCAAATACAGTGGAACTTTCAAAGAATGCAAGCGTGGAATAATGAAACACAGTCGTCGAATCTTTACCAGAGTAGAATTTAAATGTGAGGTCCAGGTGAGATCTTGGCAGATAGTGACACCGAGGTATTGCAGAGAATTTACTGGGGGAACAGGCTGGTTGTCGATATTCCTTTTAAAAGAATGTAGCCGTTCTCCTTTGGAGAGCGAGAAAGTAACATTCCTACATTTACAGGAATTGCGAGATAACTTGGAAGACGAAAACCATAAGTTTAAGGCAAATAAACTGGTTTGAAGATGTGAGAAGCGGAAATCACCTTGGAATTTGGAACCTATTGTGACATCATCGGCATACTTAATGAAAAGATAATCTGGGTTAGTGAGCAGGTCACGAATATAGAAAGAGAAAAGAAAGGGGGACAAAATTGCTCCCTGGAGCACCCCTGAGTTGACTGGTAGGGAGCCAGAGGTTTTTCCAAGAAAATTCGTGAATTGTGTTCTACCATCAAAATAATCTTGGAGTAGAGAGAGGGTAGTATGGGACAATTCAGCATCTTGGAGTAGAGACAAAAGCCTGCTCCTGTCAACACAGTTAAAAGCATTACTATAGTCGGGGAAACACACAAAATGCCCTGCCGTGCATTTCTAGAGATCGCAATAATGAGTTTACCAACTTTGCCAGAGGAATATTCTACAGAATGCTTCCTTTGCTACAAAATACGTTGCATTCGAACTCCTCTCAGGGAGCAGAGTTATCCGGATATGGCATGTACTTTGTACCATCCAAGTGCAAAAAGCTTGTTCAAAACTGCTAGGAGTATACGCCTGCACTCACACTCTGTGATGATCAGCTGAGAGTGGTTGAGAGCTTTAAGCTTGATCACAGCAACAAGTGTTGTTGCGGCAGTGATCACATTTCGAATAGCGAAGCATTCC